ACTCTCTCTGTCTTTCTGGAGAGTGCAAGCACCCTATAGCAAAAACCTCTCAAAAAAACAAAAAAAAACAAAAACAAAACAAACAAACAAAAAAAACAACAAATCAACAAACAAACAACCTCACTTGTATCTGTTGCTGCTATATTCATGGAGGTTTTAGACGGGTGAAAACATCCAGTTGTTCATTATGTCTTGTAGAGTACTCATGCCTGAGCAAATAACTTGAAATACATAGTTTTATTATATTACCCATTTCCTTTTGTTTTTCCTTTGTAGTTGGGCATTATACTGGTATTTTTTGCAATGACATAAGTGGGTCTACTTTCTATAGACTTCATGAGGATAATAACATTTATAAGGCACAGGGCCTGTTGGGATTGGGAATGGCTGGTTAGAGCAGATGGTACTCCCCTGGTGATGATTATGGGTCTAGTGATGGGTGGAGCATTTCCTATTATCTTCACTCTTTGGCAAGAATGGGGAACCACTGTATGGGACTAATGGCTACTGGCAGCCATCCTGTGGTCATGAGGGGAGTGTTCCTGAGCATAAAGCCAAAGTGGAAAATGGAGTTGGAGGACCTGGGTCTTTGGTGACCTCCCTGAGGCTATGGTGTCCAAGGATGACCTACCTCTGGAACTCCAACCCTGTAAGGTAAATATCCCTAAGTGCCACTGAGAAGGCAGTGACTGCTGACTGTGATACAATAGCATGGTGGTTTGGATTAAACAGTACTGCTGCCTCAGTTTCCCCTTTAGAAAGGATGAACAAGGATATACTTTTCTCTTCCTGTTGATGCCAGTGTGGCTGTAAATGTTTTGACCTTTTAAAGACCACCAGAAGCCAGATCTCAGAAAGGACAGTGGCAGCTTGCAGACCTCTTCCTGCCATACGTTTCTCTCTGCCTCTGAGGAATGTTCATGGGGCCCAATGTGGGTATAGCAGAGTCCAGGGGCTGACAGGTGGCTTGGTGGTTAAAAGCTCTAGACTCCCACATGGCTGGCCATGGTTTGAATCCTAAACCTGGTGGCTTGCTTTCTCACTTTCCCTCTTCTCTCTTTCTGTCTCTGTCTCTTTCTGGTCAAATTGAAAATTATAATGATAAATAAAGTTAAAATAATTTAAAAATTATTTATACACACACACGTGTGTGTGTGTGTGTGTGTGTGTGTGTGTGTGTGTATACACAGACTATGAGTCCATAAAGCCTAAGGTTGAGTATTTGCTGTATAAACCAAGGGTGGACTCAAAGGTCCAAGCCACAGAAAAGCCAGCCTGGCAGAGCCATAATCTGTTATGCACATCTGGAAGGAACGTGGGGTTATCCACTCCAGTTTCCTTTGTATTAGTCAGAATAGGCTATGTTATGCTACAGTGACACATAGCCCCCCCAATCTCAATGGCTTAAAGCAGCAATGTTTTGTTCTCAGTTGAGTGTACATGTCCACTGCAAATTGGTGAGGTGCCTTTGCTCACCACAGTTGTTCAGGTGTAAAGGCTGATGGGCCCCCAAATTTCTATACTCCTATTACCTGTGTTCCCAGGCATAGGGAATTGGGGCATATAATCCTCGTGCCAGGAGGGTCAATAAAGGAAGGGACACTTCATAGGAGGACACTATGGCTGCCCACTCTTGGTTTGTAGTCTGTATGGTCACCCTGATTCTCCCTGGGCTCTCACAGGACCTTCCTATGATGGCAGATCTAACTATGCTGGTCCCTATGTGAGGGCCAACTGGGAACCCCATCCCTGACTAAAGGAGGTACAGACTTTCTGTATTGCCATCAGAACCACTCATGGTCTGGCCTGCTCATGTATCCAGCTCTTCTCCCTTTGTCCCCTGTTTATTCATTTATCCATACACATGTACTGGGGCTAGGAGGTGGTGTGGAGATTAAGGTACTAGATCCCACATGGCCAACTACACAGTTCAAGTCCCAGACCCGGTGGCTTAAACTCACGCTGGGCATGTGTGTGTGTGTGCCCAAGATCCCGAGAGGAGAATGGAGAAGGGATTGAGGCATGGCCATCCCCCCGGGGGATGATTTCTCACTTTCCCTCTTTCTCTTTCTCGCTGCCTCTCTATGGTGAGTGCTTCCACCCTATTGCAAAGACCACAAAAAAACACAAGGGGGCTAGATAGTGATGCAGCATTAAAATGAGATGCTCAGGGCGCAGGTGGAATGGTGGTTAAGGTGCTGGATTCCCACATAGCCGACTGTGGTTTGAGTCCTGGACCTGACAACTTGCTTTCTCACTTTCCCTTTCTCTCTCTCTCTGGTCAAATTAAAAAATAGTAATAACAAATGGAAATAAATAAATAAATAAATCTTAAAAAAAAAAAAAGGGATGCTCTGTGAGGCTAACACTTATAAAAAGGTCCTGGGTTCATGTCCAAGACCTTCCTCAGTACACCAGGCATGTGCATACCCATGATCTGGTGACTGACTGAAGCTAGAAGTAGATAATGACCCTGTTGGAGGTACTATTTCTCTGTTTCTCTCATGGAATAAATAAATATTTTAAAAAAGACAGTTCTATAATGCTGATATGAGACCAACTCCAAGACATAATATGAGGTTAAAACAAAAAGCAGGATGGGGCTAGCAAGTAATGTGGTGGTTGGGGCAGCTGGAACACACATGGCTGAATGGTAGCTGGTGGCTTCAAAAACACTCCAAGGCACATGTGCATGCATGCCCAAAATCCCAAGAGGAGAAGGGATTGCATAGTGGCTGTCCTCCCGGGGGTAATTTCTCCCTTTCTCTCTGTCTGTCTCTGAGGAGAGCACACACTATAAAAAAAATTTTTTTAAGGCAGAAGAAAAGTAGAATGCAGAACAGGCATGAGTGGTTTGGACAAAGCAGGTGGATGGGAAAACTCATGTACTTGTCCACACAAGGGCTATTCCTGGACACATTAAAAAAAATTAAAAAATAAAAAAACCCTGGGAACCAGCAGTTAGCGTAATGGCTATGTCGCTGGACTCCCACATAGTCGACCACGGTTCGTGTCCTGGACCTGGTGGCTTAAAACTCATGCCGGGTGCGTGTGCTTGCGTGCCCAAGATCCCGAGAGGAGAACAGAGGAGAAGGGATTGCGGCGTGTCCATCCCCCCTGGGGGGTGATTTCTCGCTTTCTGTCTCTATGTCTCTCTCTGTCTGTCTGGTGAGCGCACGCACCCTATAGCGAAAATCTCTCCAAAAAAACCCAAAAACAAAAACCAAAAAACTGATACTACCGTCTGTGGTAGGGAACTGGGGACTGTGAGGTCCAGGAAGGAAACTTACCTTTCTTGTCTACTCTTTGTACAGTTTGAATATGAAAAAAAAAATATATATATATAAACACACACACACACATATATGTGTATATATATATATATATATTTTTTTTACTAAAACACCTCTGGATTCTTTTTTAATTTTTATTTATTCATTCATTTATTTTAATTTGACCAGAGAGAGACAGAGAGAGAGGGAGAGAAAGTGGGAAAGCAAGCCATCAGGTCCAGGACTTGAACCGTGGTCAGCCATGTGGGAGTGTCCAGTGCTTTAACCACCACACCACCTGCTGGTCCCCACAGTTTGAATATTTTACAATGTTCATTTTTTAAAATCAGGAAGCAAGTGTAAGTGTAACATCCCGGAAAGACATTCAAGATATCTTGTTATCTTAAAGTGACAAATTCAGGTTTTGAAATCACAGGTACAATATGAACCCTATTTTTGTACAGAAAAATGTATGCTACATCTGGATGTATAGAAAAATGTTGCATTATGTGCTATTTTAACTATTTTTTATAGTCTCCTGATAAAAACTTAAATAGTAGGGAAGGTATAAATAAAAAAGTATTTATACTTTTCCCTGTTCCCGCAATCCAGCTTGTTCATTCTTCAGAGGAACCAAATCCAGCAATTCTGTGCTCTGCTGGTTGGTTTTTGTTTTTGTTTTGCTACATAGCATATACGTTTGCGGAGAGAGAGGGAGAGGGAGAAAGCACCCCCTCTGCCTGTGTGGCATGTCATACTACAGTCCCTTCTCCAGTTCTCTATCCTGCTGGGATTTGGGGGCACGCAAGCATATGCATCTGGTGTTTCTCAAGCCGCCATGGAAGGAGTGGAACTGTGTGGTCAGCCATGTGGAATCTAACTTCTTTAACTACCAAGCCACAGGGCTGGCCCTGAGTTCTGCTGCTTATCACACTTAAAATGATAGTCTTTATGTCTTAAGGATGGGACTGTATGGGATAGTCTCTGTGCTTCTCTGAGATTTCTGATTTTTCTCAATAAGCATATATTAATTATGGAAATTTTAAAAAATAACTACTTTTAAAAGTGCTGTGAATTAGGGCTGGCAGATGGCATGGTGGTTACGGTGCTGGACTCCCACATGGCTGACCGCAGCTAGAGTCTCAGAACTGGTGGCTTGCTTTTTCACTTTCCCTCCCTCCCTGTCTCTCCCTGGTCAAATTTAAATAATAATAATAATAAACAAATTAAATAATTATTTATTAAGAAAAAGTGTTATGAATGAAGAGAAGTCTTTAGTCTCCTTTCTTAGTCTCTTCAACAAATAAGAGGCAGGGAGGTGGGCATATGGCCTGGTGCTCAAGCGAGTTGGATCCTACATGGTAGACTGTGAAGTTAGAGTTTCAGACCTGGAAGCTTGGGGACCATACTGGGCTCATGCTTGTATGTGCCCAAAATCCTGAAAGGGGGGAGACAGGGAAGAGAGGGGATTATGGTGTGACCATTGTCTTCCACAGGAGCTGCTTTCTCTCTCTTCCTTTTTCTTGGTCTAACTGTCCCTCTCTCTCTGGCAAGTACATGTGTCCTCTGGCAAGTTAGTGAAAAGAAAAGAAAAAGGGGCCAAGCAGGTGACATGGTGGTTAAGGAATTAGACTTCCACATGGTTGACTGCAATTCAAGTCCCAGATCTGAAGGCTTGAAAATCACACCGGGTCCTTGTGTATGTGTGCCCAAAATTTCTAGAGAAGAAGAGGGAGGCATGGCCATTCCCTCGGGTGGTGATTTCTCACTATCTCTATCTCTGTATTTCCTTATCTCTTCTCTAGTCAGTGCATGTGTCCTGTTGTGAATACCTAAAAGAGAGAGAGAGAGAAAAGAAAAAGAAAGTTTAAAAAAAAAGGAAGAAACAGACCTGTTGCTCCCAAACCCCATTCATATCCACATCACATTTCCCTCCCCTCACCCCCAAATTTTGAGACATGAATTGATTGAGAGAAGCAACATTTCTAAATTCCAGAAAAGGCCCCCAGTGCTATGTTGATAAAAATCTCCCTTCCTCATTTTCTGCTTGACCTCACCGCTTCCACCTTCCCCTCCCTCTCTAAGCTTCCACCAGTGCCAAGAAGATACCTGGTGCCTTGTTGATTCTTCAGAGGAACCAAACACAGCAATTCTGTCTTGTTCTTCAACAGAGACTCTCTAGAGGAGGATATGAAATATAGTAGAAGGAGGAAAGAAAGCAACCTGAAAAATCTCTCGTTCGCATAGGTCTCAGGTTAAAAAACAACTGGCCTTGTTAAAACCGCACCTTAATGAGGCTCCTTTCCAGCCTAATTGTCACCATGGCAATGACCCCGAGTGGCCATCTTTAATTAACTCAGAGTCAGAGTCACCAAATGAGCTCCTCCATAAATTGCTCACTGGCCCAGGCAGTCACGCGGCCCCTCCTCTGTCCTCTTTCCTTCAGTGCCAGTGATGGGGCAGAAAATTCTCAACCCTGGCTTTCCTCTCTGCTTGCTAATTCTCCCTGTGGCCAGGGGAGGGGCTCAGTCTCATGGTAATAATAATAACAGCAACAACAATAATAGTAATAGTAGTATCAGCTACAACACAACCCTCTTTATATGCATTATCTCATTTAATCTTCATAGGCATCCTGTGAGGGTGTTATTCTCCACCTTCTTCAGATACAGAAACTCAGAGACTAAGTGGCAGAGCTGGGTTTTTGTTTGTTTGTTTGTTTGTTTGTTTGTTTTTTTAATCTCTTCCATGAAAGTGAGAGAGAGGAGTACCCCAAACAGGGTCTTCATTCTTCATGCCATGATCCTCTCCCCAGCCTCAGCCAGCCCAGATCATAGACGTGTGCACATGCTTCTGGTATACACAAGGAGGCCTCGAGACAAGAACCGAGGACCTCTTCCTGTGGATTCAGCATTTCAGAACATTACCTTATCACTGTACACCCATCTGGCCCTATGGCTGGAATTTAAACCCATGTAGCCTGGCTTCAGAACCACCATTATAATCCCTCTGCTAGACATGATGTTCACAGGGTCCCGTTTTATTTGAACACAATAAAGGCCTGGAGCTGTTTCCTATATATTACTCTCCAGCTGTGTGACCTTGGGTCATTTAAGTTCACCTCTACGCATCTGGTTCCTCATCAGGAACTGGGAGGGTAATTAAAGTGGAGTAGGGTATGGGACAGGGGCCTGAACAGCCTCATGGATTCTGTTCAATAAAGATCCCCCAACTCCTGGGGTCAACAGGTGGCATGGTGGTTAAGGCTCTGGACTCCCACATGTCCTCCCACAGTTCAAGTCCTGGACCTCGCAGCTTGACAATCATGACAGGTACATGTGTGTTCGTGCTCAATATCCCTACAGGAGAATAAAGATCTGTGGTCATCCCCTCTGGGGAGTGATTTCTATTTACCATTCCATCTCTCTGGCAAGTGCCCTATGACAATAACAACAACAAAAAAAAAAAACCGTAACTCCACAAAAACCTACCTGTGTGGTCACTGAGGCAAAATGGCCTGAAGGCAAAGAGATGATAAACGTGATCATCCCCGCAGAGCCCTCAGTACAGTACCAGCCCACAGTAAGTGTGTGGTGATATTGGCTACTAGTATTTTCACTGAATGCATGTAAACAGCTTCTACTGTCCAAATATGGATATGCCCCATAGACCTCCTCCAGGACAGAGGAAGTCCAGGTCAGAGCTAACAGTCAGGAATGTGGGGGAGACAGGGACAGAGCAGAGGTGACCCAATTGCCACCAGCTTTAGAATAGATAGGGAACAGACTCGGATTTCTATGGGAGAACACACTAGAGTGGCAGGTTACAGCTGTGGACCATAGATGGTAGGTTCCACTTTGCCTAGACCTTGTCCAATGAACCTGCCTACTCCAACCTAATCTGACTGGATCAGGAGGTCCAGGGGCCAGCCCCGGTGACATTCTAGCCAGAGGGAAAGCAAGAAAGGATAATGGGGGGACCAGCAGTTAGCGTAATGGCTATGTTGCTGGACTTCCATGTAGCCAACTGCAGTTTGAGTCCCAGTGGCTTAAACTCATGCCAGGCGCGTGTGCATGCGTGCCCAAAGTCCCAAAAGGAGAATGAAGGAGGGATGGCAATGTGGCCATCCCCCCCCAGGGGGTGATTTCTCACTTTCTCTCTGTCTCTCTGGTGAGTGTATGTGCCCTATAGCAAAAATCATTCTAGGGACCAGCAGTTAGCGTAATGGCTATGTCACTGGACTCCCATGTAGTTGACTGCAGTTCGAGTCCTGGACCCAGTGGCTTAAACTCACGCCAGGCACATGTGTGTGCGTGCTCAAGATCCCAAGAGGAGAATGAAGGAGAGGGGATTGCAGCGTGGCCATCTCCCCTGGGGGTGATTTCTCGCTTTCTGTCTCTGTCTTTCTGGTGAACGCACATGCCCTATAGCCAAAACCTCTCCAAAAAAAGAAAGGAAGGAAGGAAGGAAGGAAGGAAGGAAGGAAGGAAGGAAGGAAGGATGGATGGAAGGAAGGAAGGAAGGATGGATGGATCATGGGTGCTTCTTCCCTCTAGCTGCACAGGACACCTGTGTTCATTTGTCCACACCCAGCTCTAACAGGCTAGAAATGCAGTCTTCATTTTGGGCAGCTCTGGAGAAAAGAGAACAGCCTGCAGCCTTTGCCACAAATCATCAGGTCTTCACACCATCCCAGAGTAGAAGTTATTTCTTGCATTTTTTTTCCAAGATAGGGTCTCAATATTTCATGATCCTCGTACCTCAGCTTTCCCAGTAGCTGGAACTACAGATGGGTTCAAACCCAGGCCTCCCGTGTGATCTCTGCCAGTGGAGTAGCAGTGTCTACTAGCATGCACTACTGCAGCTAGACCCAGAGTAATCTTTCTAAGTTGTAGTTTCTGACTATGTCTAAATTCTTCGATGGCTCCCCATTGCCTTCAGCATGAACTTTAACTTTATGAGCATGGACCATAAGGTCCTGCAAGATATGGTCCCAGTGCTTTCTTACTCATCCTTCACTCCAGCCCCTCTAGGCTACTCCAGAGAAAGAAAGCACCTCTCCCATGTGATTTTGCCAGACTAGATTTTCTGTTGCTTGGATCTTTGAATCTTCTCTTGGTTTATCCAGTGGCTACTCGACTTCAAGCTCTTAGGGACTCATAGCCTTTCTGCTACACCCCTGTTGGGCCCCCTGAACATTCCTCAGAGGTGGAGAGAAACCTATGGCAAGAGAAAGTGTGCAACTGCCACTGTCCTCTCTGAGATCTGGCTTCTGGTAGCCTTTAAAGGGTCAAAACATGAGCAGCCATGTTGGCATCAACAGGTAGAGAAAGGTATATCCTTGCTCATCCTTCTTTCTAAAGGGGAAACTGAGGCTACAGTGCTGTTTAATCCAAACTACCCATCCTATTATGCCTAACAGTCAGCTGTCACTTCCTTCCCAGTGGCATATTTAGGGATATTTATCTCACAGGGCTGGAGACCCAGAGGCAGGTCATCCTTGGACACCATAACATTAGGGCTCAGGTGGTCACCAAAGACCCAGGTCCTCCACCTCCATTCTCCACCTTCGCTCTGTCCTCAGGTACATTCATTCTAGCCACTCCAGAGGGAGAAAGCAATCCCCAATGGGGCATGGTCATGCCTCAATCCCATCTCCATTTGTCTATTCTGTCAGGATTTTGAACACATATTCATACTTGCTCAGCATGTTTTTTAAGCTGAACCAGTTTGTCATGTGGGGTCCAGCTCCTTTAACCAATAGGCTATAAGACTGGCCCTGGTCTTGATAAGTTCTAGACTTTTGAAGGATGTGAAACATCACAGGCCAGGTGGCCCCAGTGAAGCACTTACCTGGCTGAAAAGTGTTAAACCCAGTGCTTCACCACCCCTTGAGATTCCTTCCCTTTGGCCTCCCCACCAGCTCTCAACCCATTTTTCTCTTCCTTAGCCTGCCTAGGTATGTCAAATAACACCAGCTCCCATTTCCTTCTCTTTCTCTGGTCCCTCCCTCTAATGCCCCCCCATCCCCACTTCTCAAAAATAACACAGCAGGCCACTTCCAAAGGTCAAAAATCAGTCCTCTTCTTACCTGGCTTATTGACACATTGGACATCTTTGATCTCTTCCTCCTTCTTAAGAGATTTTTCCCTCCTGACCTCAAGGACATCATTTTCTTTGTTCTTCCTGCTCAAAGAGTCTCACTCCCAGGGTCCTTTACAAGTCTTCCTCCTCTTTCTCATCTCAAAATCAGAGTTCTCCAGCGTTCAGCCCCTAGAGCATTTCTCTTCTCTCTACATTTACTCTGCAATGATCTCATCTTGCCTTGTGGTTTTTAACCACGCCTGTATACTGACAACTCCCAGGTTAATGTCTCCAGCCAGGAGCTCTCCCCTGAATGCCAGGTTTATATATCCAGCTGCCTACTCGACCTTCATCCTTGTCTAGCTATTGTAAAAAGCCTCTTGGGCCAGCAGGTGGCATAGTGGTTAAGGCACTAGACTCCCACATGACTGACCATGGTTTGAGTCCCGGACCTGGTGGTTTGCTTTCTCATTTCCCCTCTCTGTCTCTCTCTGGTCAAATTAAAATAATAATAATAAATTAAATCATTCTAAAAAAAGAAATACAAAAAATTAAAAAGCCTCTCAAATTTAACATATCTAGAGACAACCTGTTATTCTCATTTTCAGAACTCTGCTCTTCCTTCAGTCTTCCCCTGTTCAGGAAATAGAAACTTCATCCTTCCAGGAGTTCAAACCAAAACCCACATGGTCATCCTTGACTCCACTATTCCTCATGCTCTACCTCCAATCCCTCACCAAATCTTAGCAGTTCAGTCTTTCTACTATATCAGCATTATGGGGCTGCATGGTGAGACAGATGTAAAATGCAATGTTCTACAGAGGCTGACCCACATGGGAAGGGTTCATGTTCGAGTCCAGACCTCTCTGAGTCTGTCAGGCATGTGTGATCTGGAGGTGGCTGAAACTGCGGGTAGGTTGCAGCTCAAGACCCTGTTGGAAGTCCTCTTTCTCACTCATGGAGAAGTAAGTAAATATATGTTATGTTGTGTGTGTGTGTGTGTACATATGTGTACAGAGTCAGTTCTCAACCATAACTGTCATCCTAACAGATGTTGAAGATGGAAGTAGACAGAGGTGAGGTCACTGAGTGGG